GGATAAGAAAATAAAGTCTTAATAAAAAGTAAATAAATGGGGGAAAAGAAACAATTCTTCCTCACTGCAAATGCAGAAAGGGGGGAATAAAGAATCACCATGAGAACAATGCAATAGCTGCAGGCAAGACCCACTAATAAGTGTGAAGATTAAGGGGGAAACTTCAGAGAAACAGAATATTCACACAGCTTCAAGGTGTCTAGTAATTACAGTGGCAGCTTTCATGTATGTCCACAAATTCAGATTCTCCTCACTCTTAGACTAGCTTCTAATGAAAAGACTATGTGAAGGGGAAAAATTCTAACCTGGTAGACACCACCTTAATCAAGTGATCAAAGTTAAATTCAGCCAGTAAAGATCTTATGTACCCTCTGATGTAAAAGACTAAGTCACCTCTGTGGTATTCTTCCCCCAAATCCATAAACTCAGTCTACTCATAACACCAGACACACCCAAACTGAGATCTAAAGTGTTAGGGTCATAAAAGACAAAGGAAAGACAGGAACTGTCACAGACCAGAGAAGAGAAACTAAGGCGACAGGAGGACCAGGTGCAATGTGGTATCCTCGGCTGGACCTGGGAAAGAGGACATTAGAGGAAAAAGTAAGAAAATCCAAATAAGATCAATCACATAGTAGTATTTTATCAATGTCAATTTCTTGGTTTTGATAAACATACCACAGTTAGTTAAGACGTTAACATTAGGGAAGCAGAGTGAGGGCTATATAAAATGTCTCTGCATTTCAACTCTTCTATAAATCTAAAATTCATCTCAAAAACAACTTTTCCCAAAACATAAAAGCTTCAAGACAGGAATTAGAAAACAACAATTCAGAAGTCTTTTCTTGGTTTTTAGTATCCCTTTCCCTTCCAAAATGAAGTTAGCCCAGGTTGTGTAGTTCAGTTGGGTAGAGCATCATCTCAATATGCCAAATTGTGGGTTCATTCCCCAGTCAAGGTACATAAAAGAATCAACCGATGCATGCATAAGTAAGTGGAACAACAAATCTCTCTCTCTCCCCCTCCTTCCCTCCCTCTAATCAGTTTTAAAAAGTCAACTGGGTTTATAATTAAGCAACAATCTGTTCGTTCTCATCAAGATAAAAAAATACTAAAATTCTTAAAAACATTATTTCCTCTCCTTTAGACCTCATATAGCATAGGTGGACACACTCCAGGAAACCCTAAGAGCTCACAGTTCACAAACATGGTATTTGAGGCACAGCCCAGGAAAGGTAGGTGTCACACTAATGCCTTCCAGATTTGGAATTCTTCAATATTTTTGAATAGCTAGCCTGTATCGATCTATGGTTCCCTACTGGGTACACAACATGCTTTATAAAATAGTTTAGGACAGCTATCTGGATATCAGATTATCAGTCCTCTTTTAAGTAAAAACATGAGAAAACCTAAAATATGTGAAAGCACTTTTAAAATATGTTAAAGGCCACACAAATATAAAATAATACTGTTATATGACCACTTAACAGTCACCAAGGATGACATCCCTATAAAATGTGTCCTATCCAGGAAGCCAGCTTTCTTTCTCTGAACAATCTAGTATTTACTTTTTATTAAATACATGAAATATCACACACAGACTAAAAAGCTAAGCAATATGAGACTGGTCAGAGGACAGAAGGGGAAATCTATCATGAAAAGACCTTATTTACTAAAGCCACAACTTGTGAAACTTTTTTCATATTTTCTTTCTACTTATAAAAGCCACTCTTCACATACCAATTATTCTTAGCTCTTCACCATTATCACCCAGCTAATAATGTAGCTTTCCCAATCAAGGCCAGACAAGGTGTCCAAGAACAGGTAAAACAAGACAAAAAAAAAATTTAAGTAAACAGAAAGTTTATTTTTGAGATTTCAAACCATAAACCTAGTTAACTGCCACAGTGTGATCAGCAACTACAAGTGAGATTACAGTTGCTGAATCTAAATTTAACTCCATGGCTGGAAGGGCAGTAGCACACTACAGGTTTTTGCCTTCTCGAGGTTAACTGCTTGGGGCGGGGCAGGGGGTGGGGGGGAGGGAAGAGCAGTTTTTTTAACCTACCTATTCTGACATTTCCCTTTGTAATGTCAATTAAATTTTTGTCCAAAGCAGTATTAAAGCACAGTTAAATGAACATAAAATGCATATATAAATTCTGGATTATTTTTTAAAAAACAGTATTTGTTGAAAGGTCAAGTGAGTAATTTTATTAAACTGACAAAAAGAAAAACTTGATTTAGGTCAGAAATTAAGCTTTATATTAAATTTCGTCTCTTAATTAAACATCGCCCCTCCTAAGAACCATATGCAATTTACAAAACTATAAAAATTTAAAATGAACCTCTGCCCTTTATATTCTATGCAAATTACTAAAACAAGTTAAAGTAAAAAAAATAAAATAAAATAATGTAAATTACAAAAAACCTGCTGCAAAGTAGGTCACTAACAAACATTACCAAATCTCCTGATTGTTTCCTTAGCAAACTGTCAGCTGAGAACAGCAAACTGAATTCAAGAAAGAACAAAGAACTGCCTACTTTTCTACCAGTTAAGAGGTACAAAAGCTTAGATTGAAAGGATTTAACAACAAAAGTAACCTCTGACTTGGCTAGGAATCAGGATGGCACCCAAGTCTTGTATTAGCATAATTTTTCTTTCTTTCATTTGTTCTTGATAAATGAACGCAGGAGAGGACAGCCAGGCCACCAGTTTGTGAAATAGCAGTTTCCATCTTCCTGCCCAACTGATAACCACTTGCCTGAGGCCAAGAACTGGTTTGCTGTTCTGGTGTGTTTTTTTTTTTAAAAGAAGTATTTGATGGGAAAAGTAACAAAATTTTCCCTCCATTAATGCACTAAGATAATTTCACTGATACATTTTACCTCAAGCAGTCATAAAATCAGATTCAAATTTAACAGTTTAACGTAAAACATTATGGTACTTTAACATATGATAACTTAAAATATTAATCCAATAGTTAACCAGTAAGAGTACTAAGTGCAATTGCTACAGAAAGGCAAGTTCCAGGTAAAACAATGTTATATTCCAAAGCAATCTGTTATTTATGGCAACACCAACATAGGTACAACTTGTCAATACAAAATTTCATTCATGTATCTCTTGCTACTCTCTGTTAAGAAACATTGAAAGTTTTGGGTAAATGGAAACACAAACTATTAGGCTTCCTCATAGTTTTTAAATTTACTTAGGAGGGTTAAATTATGTGTTCTCTCTGCTGCAAAAAATCAAGACCAATCCTAAAAAGTGTCTGTACAAACAAAATAAATTAAAAAATAAAGGCTGAAAGCCATTCCAATCAATACTAATTCAGAAGGATTAACTTTTTCCAATCAAAACTTTTATTGTAGTTGTATCTCCTGTAGAGACATCTGTAATTTAAGCATGACTTGGACCAGCAACACAGGAACATTTACTATTAAGCCAGGAAATATAATGGATTTTACAAAACTAAAATATACCTCTCCTAGAAAAATATAAACTCAAGTCTTTTGTAAGTGTCTCCGACGTTTACACAGGAGCCTAGCAGTAAACGCTAAATAATGAACTAAACGCAGACAGCCTGTCATCCAGACGACCCCAACTACCTGCAAGGGTAAGATTTCCAACACACCTCAACCGCCCGGAGTTCACCCAGCATAAGCTCCACACAGGTTACATTTACACTGTAACTGAGCTCCATCTTTTCTTTCCATTCCAATTTCAAATTTTAACCTATACGTGCTAGCGAGATCTGAAAGTCATCGCTCTGAACCTCATGTTCTTCCAATATAAAACGAGGAAGTTAAATTATGTTCTCAAAGGTTTTTCTCAAAAGTGTGCTCGCATTTTTTTAAAAAAGAAAAAAAAAAAAAGCAATGATTCAGGGTTTAGTAGCAGAGCCTAACTTCCTGCTGGCGGGAAGTTCCCATCATCATGCTTCGAGTTTCAAACCTGACGAGGACCGCTGTCCATGTTCACTTGCACTCACTTCATTTTATTCTATGCTTTTTCCAGAAGCTTTTAGGGCAGCACATCTATCAGCTTTCCATGCGAATACATATAGAAAGGAAACACAAACGCTTTCTTTTCCTTTGTCTTAAGCCCAATCCAACCGTAGTTTCCCTGGAAGCCCAGAACTGGCTCAAGTACAAATGCCGCTGCAAGGCTGCAGCAGTTGGACTTTCGAGGCTGATGTTGTCCCCAGGGACTACTGTTGCCCTGGGGCCACATAGAGCGCTGGAACAAAGAATAAAATGGGCTCGGGACCTAGGAGTCGGGGACCTGGATTCAAATACCTGCCCCTTACCGTCCGTATGCCTTTGACCATGTCACTCCACCTCTGGACCTCTGAGTCCGCTGTAAAATGAGGAAAATCATCGAACCTACCTCATCAGTCGTTGTGGGAGTAAATGAGAGGCACACAAGTTGCTCAATACAGTGCCTGGCACACAATGAGGGCTTAGAAAAAGTATTAGTTATTATCACTGATTACCCATGCGCTCGTTGCTCCCTCTTTACTCCCTGTAAAACCAAAGATCAAGCACTTCTGATTCCCAGGGTCGAGAAATCCTCAGCGCAATTTCGCGTCGCTCCCATCCCTAAATAAAAGCCTCCTCTGGCCCAGGGTAAGCTAGAGCACCATGCCAGCGGAGGAAAGACTGCTGGCGCGTGGGGACGCAGGCGGGAAATGCTAGCGAGCTGGATGCACGGGGCCCCAGGCCCCCGAGATCGCCCTGGGGCCCGGGCGGCGGCCGCAGCTCGCTCTCGCCCCGCGTGGCAGTTGGGCGCGGCACGCGCACGCGGGGAACACGGCCACACGCGCCGGCGGTGGAGGGGGGGTGGCGGGGAACGGAGGGCCTCCGCTCGCCCGGGCGCCCGCCTGCGGCCGTTGAAGGGGGGTGCGCCTCGCGCGAGAGCCGCTGACTCTTCTCACAACCGCTGCAGCTGGTACTGGACCCCAGGCCGCCCAGCCCCGCCCATACCCCCGGTGTACCTGCGCGGCTGAGCGGGAGAGGAACAAGCTTTGCTCCACAGCTCGGAGGAACGAAAAAAACCCTCACGCAACTGCGTCCGCACACACGCGTGCTCCGCCGCCGGTCTATATAACTGCGACTCAGCCTAACTTGTTGCGGCCAGGTCGGGGAGCCTGATGACCAATCCCAAATGCGTCCTCTGGGCTCCTCGAGCAGCAATTGGGTATTGACTCAGGATGAAGGCGTGACTCTTGATTGGCTTTGACTCATACCTATGAGACTGTGAAGATCTCGTTTCCCTAGTAACGGATTGGCACAGAGAGAGGCCAATTACTTAAAAGTATGGTGGGAAGGTGGGTGGGAGCTTCTTTGACTGATACCAATATTAGCCAATATATGTGTGGAGCCGCTCCAATTCGTTAAAATGGCTTCCCCTGGGTGGAGATCCATTTTCCAGTGCAGGAGCGGTTGCTCCACAAGGTGGGGCCCTTGTACTTTGGGGAAGTAAACCCCAAGCAACTAGGAGGTGGGAGCTAAGGAGGGAAAGGAGATCCTCGGCCAATCGCAACACAGAAGGAGCTGATTGACGTGGGGGTTGAACTGCACCAAGGAGACCGAGCTCTTGGGCCGCGGTGCTCCTGGGGCGGTTCTGAGGCTGTCCTGTCCAGGGCTGTGTTCTTTTTCTTTTCTTTTCCTCACTTGTTGGCTCCGACTTCTGAGGCCCCTCTACCGCCTTTTCCGCAGATTGGTACCAGGGTAACCAAGTGGTAAAGTTTCCCGTTGTTTGTTTCCTCTTATAACTTATTTCCATGCCTAAGGGCACTTGCGGGCTCTCACCATTAGTCAGCACTATCGCTAGACAACTATTAAGGGAAAGCCAAAAGAGAAGATAATTCCCGTGTATCTGAGATCTTGTTAAAAAAAAAAAAAAAAATCACACATGAACACTGCTGTTGCGTTGGAGAACACAAATTTCTGCCCTGTTTTTGTGGGGGGTTTTGGTTTTTGTTTTTTTAGCAAGTGCTGCTGCAGGTCGGCCCGAAGGTTGACTCCTGGGTGTTCACTGAGGTTTTCCCTTTTTGTTGTTGCCGAGGATGGTAGTTTTTAAATTCTCTGATCTGCTTGGGCCTCAAACATCCTGTGCGCCACTACCATTTTCATTCAGTTTTCTAATCGCTGTGGGTGTGAGGGCTTATTTCTCTAGGTCAGTCCATCTTTAAAAGGTAACTTGTCAAACTCCTGTATGGAGATCCTGAAGATTTCCTGAAAGAGTTCAAGGGCGAATTAGCGCTCCAGCCTAGTCCTGCCCACATCTCTAAGTGTATAGCTGGGTCCTCTTGGTGACCAAAAGCATTTTCTAGGGAAATACAAAGACACACCTGGGGTCCTTTCTCATTCCAGGCTTGTGACCCTGCGGGAGGGGCTCCCGTTAAGTTTTGCAGAGAAATTTAGAAATGAAGCACGTGGAGCGTCTCTGTTGGGAGAGAAAGGGGCGCAGGCAGCCGCTTGGTGGCATCCGGGCGCATCCTGACAGCCTCCCAGCGCGGACCTGGCCCCAGGAGCAAAGTGAGACGTCCCCTCCGCCCACCCCTCTCCACCCCCGCCATGCCTCGCTCCGGCAGCTGCCTTGTTCTTTCATCATTTATCGTGAACTCCAAGGGCTGGAATCAGGGATGATCAAGGCGCTGTCCCTGCTCACTGTCCCTCATTCAACAGACCACAGCGCCGCCCTTGGCCAGAAGCTCCCAGAACGGGGGAACAGGTGTTTGAGGCTATGAAGACACCAGAGGGAACTCAGCCCGGAGGAGAGAAGCTGCTGAAGGTTTTCGGGAGTAAGGAACCTCCACTCCAGGATCGTGTTAGCCATGCTAAAGAAATTCAGACTTTATTCTACAAGGAGTGGAGAGAGCTCCTGGAGGATTTCTTAAAGTGGGACTAACATATTTGCATTTTACAAGATGACCCTCCAAATTGAACCGCTGATGAGAGCAAATTGGCGAAACTTTAAACCACAGATTGGTAATTTAATCCAAGAAGCCTGTGATAGGGGTCAAGGCTATTCTTAATTTCATTCTGAGGGAATTTTAAGTGATTACAGTTCTTTTTGTAAAGCTAATTTGGCAGTCTTATTAAATTGTGTATATCCCACTTGGTTGATAGCCACATCTTTTTTTACAAAGGAGCATATCGACATTACAGTATTGTCAGCTTGTTAGACTATTTAAACGGAAAAAGTGATTGCCCATCAGTTTGCAAACTATTAATAATTGTTGATATGCACATAATATAGAATACTATGCAGCACTTTATAGAAAAGAATGAGATAGAATTATACAGATGTGGATCGGTCTCCAATTAATTGGACTTTAATTGAAAAAAATCAAGTTCAACAAAACATAGTGGAGTCTCATGATAAAAACAAAATAAAATATAATTCCTGATTTCTGTATGTTAAAATATGTATCCAAGAGCATAGCCCTGGCTGGAGTGGCTCAATAGCTAGAGCACCAGCCTGTTAGCTGAAAGGTCAGGTTCGATTCCCAGTCAAGGCATATGCCTGGGTTGTGGGTCAGGTCCCTGGTTGGGGGCATGCGAGGGGCAACTGATCAATGTTTCTCTCCCTCTCTTTCTCCTTCCCTTCCCTTCTCTCTAGAAATGAAAAAATAAAATCTTCAAAAAAAATAGATAAAACAATGGTCATTTCTCCCCTAGGGAATCCCCAAGGTTGGAAGTGATGAGGGTAATGTATTATGTGAAAGTTTTATAATGAGATTGTGTTTGTGTACTGTGTGAAGGAAGGAAGGAAGGGAAAAATGGATTACCAGAGGGAAAATGTGGACAAGACCTCAGATAGCTGTTGCTGTCTTCCACAGAAGAGCAAGTTGCCTGTTTCTGTGGTAGTTTCCCTACTCACATCATAAACCCTCAGAACCCAGATGCTGGATACTTAGTAACAAGTTAAATGAGTAATTTACCACCAATGAATTATCTGGAGCACTGACTCTCAGAGTGGGGGTGGCATAGGAGATGTTGCCCCTAAGAGACACATGGCCTTGTCACAACCTGGTAGAGAGGCCACTAGCATCTCGTGGGCAGAGCTCAGGGAAGGACAGGAGAGCCTCCCATGACAAACAATTATCTAGCCAAAAAGTTAGTAGAGAAGCCCTGGTCTAGTTATTTTAGTCATCTAAGAAAGAGTCCCACCCAGCCTCCTACAGGTCTTTTCACTGCCAAACAAACCCCTCCAGTACACTACCCTTCTCTGTCTTCCAATACTTCTCAAATTCTGAAAATCAGAGTGGGAAGACATAGGTAAGACCCCAGAAAATACAATTTAGTGGGAGGAGTGTAAGGTTAGTGGGAAATGTTTGGTAAGGAGTGATCCTACGGATATCAATTAGATCAGTTTCCCAAACATAGCTAATCATTCATGAAGGATGATTAAAAATACAGGTATGTGCCTGGATATAACTTAAACTCTCACCTGTGAACAAAGACATAGTATAACAATATTCATTGCAGTACTGCTTATAATAGAGACAGGAAACAGCCCAGCTGTCCAACTATATGGGACTGGTTAGATAAAACACTATGACACAGTGCACACTTACAGTGGACTGTCATGTAACAATAGAGGAAATGAGGCAGATCTGTGTGTACAGTTATAGAGCAATCTCCAAGAAATACTGATAAATGAAGAAAGCAAAGTGTAGAATTATGGGAAGAGTAAAAAAAGGGAAAGGGATACCTTGGGGTGACTATTTGTATTAAGATATAGTGTATTGTGGGGCAGATTTCCAGTCAAGATGGCAGCATAGGCAGACATGGCTCGCCTCCTTCCATAACCACATCAAAATTACAACTAAAATATAGAACAGCCATCACTCAGAACCATCACAAATCGAGTTATATGGAAGTCTGACAACCATGGAATTAAAGAAACCACATGCATCCAGACTGGCAGGAGGGGCGCAGACACAGAACAGGCTGGTCACATATCCAATCATAGATAAAAATCCTGGAGGGATATCTTGGGAGGGAGGAGTCCCAGCCCCCCAGCCCAAGGTTCCAGTGCCAGGAAGATAAGTCCCCGCATTTTCTGGCTGCAAAAATCAGCAGAGATTGAGTCAGTGGAAGAAAGTGCTGAAGCCCCAAGCAGTTCCTCTTAAAGAACCCACACATGGACTCACCTAACCAGACTCACTCCCTCTGAGCTCCAGCACCAGTGTAGCAGCTTGAAAGCCACCAGTGGCATTCAGGGAGAGACTGAAGTGTCTGGCATCAGGGAGAGCAGAGGCCATTGTCCCTTTCTAAACCCTTCCCCCACAGAACCAGCAAGGTGATGCCATATCTGAGACTCCATCAACCTGGCTAACACTGTTTGCCTGGCCCTGGAGATCCCCTAAGACTCCATCCCAATCAACTTATGGACCTACCCAATCTGCTTTTCCATATGAATGGCTTGTCTTGGCTCATGCCTCACAACTTCCTAAATCCTATCAAACAAGCAGCAGCTGGCCTCAGTGAGCCCCAGGCATGGCACAAGTAGCGGCTTGGCTTTGCTTGGGAATCTCCAAGCCTAACACAAGCAGCAGCCACCTCAGACTGCTTTATAGCTCCGGCAAGCTGCCCTGAGCAAAACACAGGCTGGGGCTGTTCTTGGCCTGCACCACCCAGGAAACCCCAGAGTATAAGCACCCAGTGGGCAGCTACAGACCAGGACAGAACACCACCACCTGGCCCCTGCACAGCTGATCCTCGATGGAGGGCAGAGGGTTGTGGTCAGTGGTCACAGCCCGTCCTTGCAGCTGACTGGCCTGGGTAAATCCCTCCCATTGACCTGTCAATAGCATCAAGGCTCAACTACAAGAGGAGAGTATAGTCAGCCCACATGAAGGACGTACCTCAAGTACCCAGCTTAGGTGATAGGGGAGGCTGTGCCACTGGACTCTATAGGACATTTACTACATTAAACCACTGTGTTGCAGCATATCTAGGCCAGGCAAGTCTACTCGAGACTCAGGTAGATAGAAGAAAATGCACAGAGCCATGGGGATGCTTGACATGCCTTTATTCGAGGGAGCCACACAGGCCACAAGCCCATGTCTATGTCTGCGCACACGCTAAGAAGCCCCTACCTTCCTAAGTACTAGAAGGAACAAAGCCAGCTACAAGCCAAATGGTTAGGTACCATAGCATGAGCTGCGCATGCGAGCCAACTTCATATTATGGAAACCGTTTATTGGACCCAGACTCAAGGCTGTGAGACCCAGCCTCAAGGCTATGAGAACACTAGTTTATCTGACACCTTTAAGGTTGTGAGAAACTGCTCCCCTTAGTTAACCAGACACCTGGGTGAGGAAGCCAGACTGCCTCCACTCACCCTACAGCCACACTACCAAGACACAGAGTCAAAGCAGCTCTACCTAATACATAGAAACAAACACAAGGAGGCTGCAAAAACGTGGAGACAAAAAACATGGCCCAGATGAAAAAACAGATAAAAGCGCCAGAAAAAGAGCTAAACAAATGGAAATAAGCTTATCTATCAGACACGGAGTTCAAAACTCTGGTTATAAGGAAGCTCAAGGAACTTAGTGAGGACCTCAACAGTATAGAAATGGTCCAGTCAGAAACAAAAGGTACACTGATTGGAATAAAGGACAATTTACAGGGAAACAACAGTAGCATAGATGAAGCCAAGAATCAAACCAATGATTTGGAACATAAGGAAGCAAAAAACAACCAGTCAGAACAACAAGGAAAAAAAGAATCCCCCCAAAATGAGGATAGTATAAGCAACCTCTGGGACAACTTCAAGAGTTCCAATGTGTGCATAATAGGGGTACCAGAAGGAAAAGAGCAAGAGAAAGAAATAGGAAATCTATTTGAAAAAATAATGAAAGAAAACTTCCCTAATTTGGTGAAGGAAATGGACATACAAGTCCAGGAAGCACAAAGAGTCCCAAACAAGGTAGATGCAAAAAGGCCCATTCCAAGACACATCATACTTAAAATGCCAAAGGTTAAAGATAAATAGAAAATCTTAAAAGCAGCAAGAAAAAGGAAGTTAGTTACTTACAAGGGAGTTTCCATAAGACTGTCTGCTGATTTCTCAAAGGAAACTTTGCAGGCCAGAAGGGGGTTGGCTAGAAATATTCAAAGTCATGAAAAACAGGGACTTACAGCCAAGATGGCTCTACCCAGCAAAGCTATCATTTAGAATTGAAGGACAGATAAAGAGCTTCCTGGACAAGAAAAAACTAAAGGAGTTCATCAACACCAAACCAATATAATTTGAAATGTTAAAGGGACTTATTTAAGAAAATTGATGTTGCCAGAAGGGAAGGCGTTGTGGGAGAAGGGGTGAAGAGGTGAGGGGATTAATAAGTACAAATAGGTAGTCACAGAATAGCCATGAGGATGTAAAGTGCAGCATAGGAAATGGAGTAGCCAAAGAACTTACACGCATGACTCATGGACATGAACAATGGCCTGGGGATTGCATGAAAGGGGGGGCCAGGTGGAGGGAGGCAAAGGGGGAAACATCAGGACATCTGTAATAGCCTAATCAATAAAATATAATTTTAAAAAAGATATACAGCATTGCTATAGTTATCTATACACATTCCTGCATGGTTTTGGTGTGCATACATTGGTTATGTCTGGAAGGAGTTCAAAACAAACTGTTAATGATTACTAACAGGGAGCTGAACTTGGGCCACAGTAGGAGAAAGACTTAGTTTTCATTCTGTACTCTTTGATACTGTATGATTTTCCAAACAGTGTTCAATGTTAAATACAGATTTTAATAGTGATATTCATATAGCAGGCATTTAGACAGACATGAGCAGAGTAGGAACATAGGCCAGGTTCAGAAGGTCACCAGGTGGAAAGCCCAGGGTGACTAGCAACAGTCAATTGTGGGGCAGGACCTCACCCCCTAGCATATCATGGGCCATGAGGTTTAGACCTCCTGAACTCTCATACTGCTAGTTATGCGGCCGGCCCCTCCTCTGGCATGTCACTGGTCCCTTAGAGGAGGAACAAAAGGGGCCCGAGAATGTCTCTTATTTCTCCCATATAGTGCCTCGCACAACCACCCCCTTAAGCATTAAGCTCTCAGGACAATGAGGTTCT